TTCTGTAGCTATGTGTGGGTGTAGAAAGGACTGGGAAGGACAGCAATGAGTATGCCAACAGTGCTTCGTTGTGTGTCAAATGTCAAGGCTCTGTTGGTTTCCTGGGACTGGGGAGTATTTTTCTTCCAAACAATAGATATTTGCTGTCTTGGAGTAGGTATGGCAGGACACACTGTAATTCTAGCCCAGAACCCTGCCTCAGAAAAGGGAAAAGACACTGGTGGCGTCATGTACTGGAGAAGTTTGCAACCACGATACTGGCAGAGCCATCTTCTTTGTGAATACCGGAGGGGCAGGTTCTTCCTGACCCTGTCCAGCTTGGTGGTTTGTAACCGGTCTTGGTGTTGCTTGGGTTGTCTCTTCTGCCATCCAGTCTTTGTCTCTGAAATCATGTGATATTCTGCTTATATGTCTGTCTGTATTCAAACTTCCCTTTTCTTTAAGGCTATTAATCATATCACACTTAGGACTCATTCTATTCTCGCAGGACCCCATCTTACGTTGGTTACCTCTGTAGTGGCTCTACCTCTGTTTATTTTCTTTTCCTTGGTCGGTCCTGGGTGGACACAAATTTTGGAGCAGATACTGCTCAGTCCTATACAAAGTAAAGATCTTTCTTTCTTTAGATTTTTAAAAAATAATTTAAAGATTTTATTTATTTATCTTGTGCATATGATTTTATTTATTTATTTTATGTATAAGCGTGCTCTATCTGCGTGTATGCCTGCACACCAGAGGGGGCATCTGATCTCACTACAAGTGGTTGAACTCAGGACCTCTGGAAGAGCAGCCAGTACTCTTAACCTCTGAGCCATCTCTCCAGCCCAGATATTTCTTTTGTTATGTGTCTGTTTTATCTAAGTTTCTTTTTGCAACCCACATGCTACTTCTATACTAGCAAAGAGCAAACAAAAGTTACAACCCCCTTCCAACCGATGATGTTTACTTTAGTTTGAAAAAAAATGCAACAAATTACATTTAGGGAACAGTCAGTACTACAAAGGTTGCTGGTGCCAACTACAGTGCCCTGTGCTAGGAATCGCCCCACAAACCCTGCCAAGCCACGCTGGGAATACAGGAAGGAGTGTTGGCTCCTATGCCTGGGGAAAGGTTTCGGGAGAAGAGGGAGGCGTGCTCTGTCTGCCTTGGGATGAGCTGCTAGCTTCCTGTCGATGGGATTTCCGCTGGGATGACTTAGGTGCTGCAGCAGTACCCTGTCCTGAGCAAACACGCTGGGAGCAGGGCAACTGGGAAAGTGGGGATGAGATAACCGCAGCCCGTCCCGGCAAGGCTGGATAAACACTGCCTGGGAGTCGGACTGTTTCCTCAGCCTCAGTCAGGTACTGGGGGCCCATAGGGTAGTGATTTCTTTCCTGACTGCCACACCCCAGCCTGGCCCTGATTAGTCACAGCACGTGCTCAGCTCTGCCTCATTCTGTTCCCCTGATGTTCTGCACGTCCCACCATCCAGCGGTGCGTGCTCACCCCTCCCTGGAGCCGATTGGGTGGAACAAGATCCCTGCACCACCACGTTCCCTTGGAGCAGCTGGGAGTCAGGGTGAAGTCTTGGATTTTCAGCACAACTGAGTTAAGAGTCCCTCCATGTGTTTGTTTGTTTACGGGTGACCCGGACAGAAACCCAAGACAGGAGAGAAGGAAGCCTCGGTGTGTTTCACTCATTAAAAATGCCCTCAGCTTCTTTCTGAAGGCCCTCCTGTCACAACGGGGTTTTGTAGCGAAGGCAAGAGCATCCTGTGTGGAGAGTAAGACTTTCAGGGGGCAGTTTGGCCATTAAGAAACAAAAACACAAATGGCAAAGGATGTGATAGTAGCTGGGGGTTTTCACAGGGAGAGGGAGAGGTCTAAAGGGAAGGAAGAAGGGGGAGGGGCAAGAGAGGGCAGTGGGGGAGGGAAGACAAAATGTTGCTCGTCTTGTTTCATATTCTGAATAGAGATTTAAACAGACGCATGTGCACACACATCCTCACATGTGCGCACACACACGCGCGTGCACACACACACACACAAACACACACCACATGGTGTGAAAGCAGAAAGGGGACTGTTTGGAGGGAGAAAGGGAGCCAGCATGGGGTGGGGAGGGCCTTATGGAGGCAACTATGAGCAAAGCTCAAAGATGTTTGTGGATAAAAATGTGACACCCACTATTGTGTACACTTAAGAAATTAAGGAAAAGATAACCCCATAACTGGATCTTTAAGGGGAAGGGCGGTGATATTCTTTAAACAGCTATGTCTAGACCTAAAACTCTTGAAGAGTGTCAGAATCAAGTACAGTCTCTCATGGGATGGAGGCCCAACTTTCATCCTTCCCCACACAGCCGTTTAACCCTTCAGCAGAACAAAGAACAACCGAAGGATAAGATAAAAATCTCCCGGAAGCAGGCTCCATCACTGATCCAAGGACACACGTTCCTGATCTCTGCTCTGGCAACACTTGCTATGGAAGTCCTGTGGATACTTTTGGGTGCTTTGCTTCATCATCCTCTTCTGTCCCCTCGACACCACTTTTATTCTCAATTCAGAGAAGGGAATAGGAACTCATTATATAACGTGCCCACATCTTAGTCACTGGCTTCTTGAGTCTAGCTGTGAGTGACTCCAGGGATGAGTTTTCTGCCCTCTACTGACTCCAGGGATACAACGCCCAGGGACGTGCTCTCAGCCTCACCAGCTTTTCACATCCCTCACCACCATTTGTCAGGGGGCGCTCTTCCGTAGCTCACCTGGTTTTCAGGACTGCCTGTGCCTCCCTGCAGAGTGAGGACTGTCTCATCTCAGGGTTTTCCGGCAGGTTCCAAAAAGAACGCTATATTTTAGAGAGACCGAGGACTGAAAGATGCTACAAAGTATAGGAATCCATCAGAAACGCTACAAACAGCTACAAAGTATAGGAATCCATCAGAAACGCTACAAACAGCGGAACCCCTGGCCAGGCTCCATCCCAAAGAGAAGGGAGAGGGGATGCGGGAACATTCTCTGGTGTAGGAATCTAACTCCACCCAAGATGTGTGCTCCAGGCTTACCCCGTTATGTATTTGTCAAAGCACTTGCCCTTGGAAGCGTAATTATTTTGAACTTAAATATGCAGAAAAGTCCAAATGGAAAAAAATAATGATCACCCATATTCCTAAAATCCACTGCTACCGACGCTGTTATGTGCACTTCTAGGATTAGCTACCTCATACTCAAGTACATTCTTTGAAGTAATCATTGCAGCATGGAAAAAGCTAGATTGCTATGATGTCACGACAAAGGTAATGCTTCATTCTTTATTCGGAAATAGCTATAAATTAAATGTGCATTCTTTCAGTATTAAAAAGATTCACATATTTAAAATATGTTAACTCTTGCTGTGTGTATCTTCTTTCCTTACATCGTATCATGTTACAAATGTCATTTTGCTTCTTGCTGTTTTATTCAACATATTTTTGAGACATACCCACTTTGGTGCACCCATATACAGATTGCTTCTTGTAAAAGCTGTAATGGTATGTTACTGTGCAAACGCCCCCCTACAGCTTCTAAATAAATGCACTCGGATGTCCGTTGTTCTGCTATTATGAGCAATACCGAAGCAGCCACCCTTGTCCTCAGGACTCCCACCCTGCACATCCCAGGAAAGTCATATCCACATCTGTGTGATCGAGCCTTCTGGAGCTGGGCAATGCCCGACAGCTTGCTCCGCTGTGTCTGAGAACTTCTGCTTTCATCTCCCGTATCCATGCTTGTGACAACGTATATCGAGCACCTACTGAACATAGGACATTGTTCTGGTGCTTTCCTTATAGTAATACATTTGCCTCTCTGAAAGGTTTTAAAACATAAGCCCTGGCTTCACTATTCTCGTTTTTGCAAGAGGAAAATAAAAAGAGATGGCGGCCATCAGTTGGCTAAAGTCTCGCAGCCTGTAAGCTGCAGAACCCTCACAGACGCTGGACAGTCCAGCCACTGTCTGAGTGCTGAACCATTCTTTTAAGCCTCCCTTATGTTTAACTTGACTTGGTTGGCAGTTTCCCTCAGCCATGACCCTGAGGCAGGGACCTAGGGGTCGTACTGGTGTTTCCATTATCTGGGTCCAGACAGTGGCTTTTATTCTGGGATCTATATTGCTCTGTGAATCACTGTGCTTTTTATTCTGGGTCCCCTTTCCTTCCCCCACTCCCACATATACTTCTTTCCCTTCAGAAGCACCCTTCTGTCTCTGATAGCTCAGTCCTCCCCTCCCCCACAAGCTTTGAAAAACTAACGTTTTGGGGCTGGTGAGATGATTCACCTGGTAGAGGTGGTTACTGCCAAGACCGGTGATCCGCGTTCAGTACCTGGGATGTGGACATTGGCTCGCTCACACAAATAAATAGGTAGAGAAAAGAAGAAGAAGGAGGAGAAGGAGGAGGAGGAGGAGGAGGAGGAGGAGGAGAAGAAGAAGAAGAAGAAGAAGAAGAAGAAGAAGAAGAAGAAGAAGAAGAAGAAGAAGAAGAAGAAGAAGAAGAA